GCGCACGTCGATCCTGAACACGTCGTCGAAGATCTTCATGTCAGTCTCGTGCAGGATGCTAGTGCGTGCACCGATGGCGGCGTTGTTCACCAAGACGTCCAGTCTGGAATAAAAGGAAGAAAGTCACGAACATAATTATTTAGACTAAGAGCTCAAAAGTTCGACCCATTTCAATGTGATAATGTTGTTTATTTTTGTTTGAACATTGTCAATTATTATCATCTGATAAGCTATCAAGCATACCGGTTATCATAACAACACTTCAATTTTATAGTAAACAAGAATTCGGCCTTGACAAGGAACATGGAAGTATTACAGAGTAATTGTAAAACCACGGTCAAGGATTTGAATGTTTACCTTTTAAAGTGTGCTAGAGTCTCCTTAGCAGTCTTCTGGATCCCTTCATCAGTCCCCAAATCCGCGACGATCGCCAGCGGCTTCACGCCCTTCTGCTTCTCACACTCGGCCGCGACTGCTCGCAAGTTAGCTTCATTTCTTCCCACCAGCGACAGCTTCGCGCCAAGTTTAGCGAACAGGAGGGCGGTGGATTCACCTATACCAGAACTGGCGCCAGTTACCAGCACTACTTTGTTAGAAAAATCGTAATCCATATTGGCAATAATTTTTTTTTTCAGTACTTATTTATTAATAATCGCGAAGATGCGTTAAAATATGGATCTGATCTGTTTATCCAAACAATCAGAGCCAGTTTATATACAGCGCAGGCTAGCGTCACGTGTGGAGCGCATTAAATTGTAAAGAGAATCTTGAAGATAGCCAGAGATATCAGCAGATATTAGCGATACCTTAATTTGTGACATAACATTGTAACATCGCATACTGAGAATATCAACATATAGCATAATGATGCAGTCAGTCAATATCAATTTGTTACTTTTTGAATTGGATGCTCCTGAAAAGGAAGATGAAGTTTTATGTTTGTTTGAGAAGCTATTAAAATATTTCAGTTCTTTTTTTTTATGGCATAAGCCGGTAAACGAGCAGACGGATCACCTGATGGTAAGCAATCGGCTTCGCCCATGGACGCCTGGAACACCAGAGGCATTACAAGAGCGTTACCGGCATTTTGGGGATTAGGAGTTTGAGGATCGTTGGGGATTCAGGGATTGGGGAGATTGGGGAAGGGGAGGGTAATTGGGCCTTCGGTCACTCACACGACGTAACACGTTGCTGTTGCAAGCGTTGCTTCACGTCGGTTTTCTGTTAGGCCGTGATATCACTCCGGTCGAGCCGACCCATTCGTGCCGAAGCATGGCTCTCCCATGGCACACACTTAAATTTTTTATGTTCTGGGTTACTATCATCATCTGCCTAGTATCTATCTATATACAATATACATAATAAAAATATAAGCATGTTGTTGTGCCTACTGCTGCAAAATAAAATTTTGCAAGTCATTGTGATATTTCATAATATTTTGCAATGGTATAATGACGTCAATAGTTACACAATGTTATACAATACTCGGTAACAACAGGAATAACTGATGCTCCACTCAAGTCCAACCGATTTAACAGATAATCGTGTAGGTAGTACCTGGTACCTATATAAAAGTACAACATATTTTGAACCAAGCACTAGGTTTCGAGGTGTCCGTAGAGTCGAGTGTTCTTCTTAATTTTTACTAACTGACTTCAAATTGAAAAGATTTTAAGTTTCAGTTTTACTTCATGATTGGCATAGTAAAAGTATTAGTTAGTCTTTGGAAAACGTTTTAGTATTCAAAAAAGATGGGGTTGAAGTCGATTTTTTTAAATGTACTTTATAAAAGAATTATTGTGGCTACCATAATATATTCATCACATTGTAAAGTTCGCGGTCCTTGCAAAGTTCCGATATCCATAGAAAGATGTGGTGATATTTTTTTGAAGAGTTTTGATTTCAGAATCATTTACATTGGCTAACGTAGCGCACCTCTCGTAACTTTCTTCCTACAGGCTCTTTCTTTCTGCCTTCTTTTAGGATTTGTAAGATCTTCACATGAACAGCCTATAGGTGACCACTGCTGACCAAAAGCCTATTCTCAGACGGTGAAGGTTTGCGTTAATCTGGTGATTAACGCCAACCTCGCTTGCTCAGAACAGATTGAATCTTACATTATATCAATTTGTATATTTTACACGCATCCATGAAACAAGAGAATAAATATTTTTGTAACTAAAATATTATTAAATAACGTTATATTTTCAATGTTTATCAGTAATTGTGTTAAGTATATCACACAGGAAGGGACAGGCAGAGGTGCACATTACGGCACTTAGTCCCAGTGTGCGATGCAACACCCACTTTTCACTATTATTTATTTATTTGAATACCAACAGCAACAGCGTTACATATAGTTTACAATAGTTTGCGTGAATTAAAGAGACTTAGGCTAATAATGGGTTTGAGAACGGACTTAATTAACTTAATAAGATCGAGAACAAACAATAGGTAATTTACTGAATCAGTTACAAAGACTTAGATTTCGGAATAATGATGTTATGCGTATGCCTAGTTATGTTATGAGTCCCATGTAATAGGGGGTGAGCCTATTGCCATATATCGGGCACAATTCCAGACTACGACCCAGTAATACTACTCACACAGATAAGACTTCATCTATAAATAAGGTGTATATGTAAAGGTGGATGTAATATTAATAAAGTAATAAAAATCGTACACAGACCTAAATACAAATAAATATTAATAATACCATATTAACTCAAGATGAATAGAACGATAATAGGAGTACATCAAGGTTCGATATTGGGACCGATCGACTTTTCAGTATTTAGAAATTAATTTTGACTGCCTTGCTGGTGCTGGTGGCCGGGCAACTGGCTACCGTGATCTCTGGGTGTCATGTGAAACTAGTAGATTTCCTCGTCAAACACTTAGGTGAGTAAGCCGAAAACATAACAATTAATTTAGTATGTCTTACGAAAATTATAATTTAAACATAATTTCGGGTTTTAAACTGTCAATCACCAAGCGGTCACCGGTGACCGCAACCTATTGTTCTATAATTGTGTCTATAATGACGGTACTCGACGAGTTAAAGGTAATAAATAATTATTTTGGAAATAAACTGGTCTGAAGATTTTCATTACGACAAAAAGTTATGTTTTGTTACCAAAAAGACTCCAAATTACTACTAGGTACTGTACACAGCGCACGTTATTGGCATTATCAATCTTTTTGAGATTTGACAGCTCGAATATAAATATTAGCCGCTTCTAATATTTGTGATATTGAGAATTGATTGTGTCGAGTGCTATTCATTTTGGGTTAAAAATTGTTGACCAACTAAACTCTTGCTAACACCGTAATCGAACCCGAGACGCCTTATTCGGCAGTGGTAGTGTATACCATAGATTTGATACTGTTGTGGTGACACTAATGTGTTGACATTTTTATGTACCTATTTTCAAGTGCGTAGCTGCGCCTGCGAACCTAAAGCATTTGCAAGCCAGTCGTCAAAATATTATTTGTGTTTCAAGTTTTAAATTAGTTGTGAATTGTATATTTTCTAAGACAATATAAACTCAAAGTTCTTTCTTTTTTATTTTGGACTTTCATTGAACACATGAACTATGCTGGAGCCAAATGAATTTAAATAAGAATATTATTTAGTATAATGTCTAAATTAGTATATTACTTAATACGGTTATTATACTGAGATGAATATGGGTGTTCCCCAAGGCTCAGTACTAGGTCCCTTCCTTTTATTAGTTTAATTTTCTGTTAAAATATCCTATAAGCTTTGCTCCGAGATGCAAATTATACATTTTTAATATTTTTATCATAATTTTCATCTGTCATCTAGTGTAACGGTTTTATGTTTTATATGACGTGTGCCATAATGTTTGACATTTTGTATTGTTTTTAGTTACAACTCTGTTTTGTTTTGATTAAATTTTTATTTATAAGTTTTGATTTAATTTCCATTTCAGTTTTATGTATATTTTTATGTTTATTTTGCATGATGTGGTCTCCTATAATTGAGGAAGCACATAGTTTTTAATTTTTTTACCTTATAAGATAATTGAGGAAGCATATAGATTTTAATTTTTTGTAATGGAACTACTCGTGTGTGCTAAATTCCTTGTTGAAGAACCTAATTCAATAAGTAAATAAATAAACGGCAGAGTTTTTTTAGATCGATGTTTATGGGAGTGATCGCTACGCATGGCGATTGCACCGAAAGATTGTTTCAATCGGCGTGTAAAATGTCTACAATGATGGGGTTGTTGAATAAACTAAAACAGAAAATAAGTATTATGGTTTTTTATTAAATTATCACAGCATTGTTCTTATGCTACAAAAAATAATTTGAAAGTTCACTTTATCTACTCGAAGTAACAACGGATGATGGCGTCGGACCGCTGAACCTGTAGCCGCCGTCTATCACCACAACGGCACCAGTGACCAGCCTGCTGTGGTCACTGGCGATGTGCACGACCATGCGAGCTACGTCTTCTCCCACACAAGGCGCTCCCATAGGAATCTTCTTACTAATGTTTACCAAAAACTGCAGATATTGCTCGTGCGTGACGCCGATAGCACGTTTCATGAATTCTGACTCCTGAAGACAGAAAGATGTAGATACAATTAATGTAATGTTTCATTTTGAAATCGTATGTTAGGGAATCAAAAGGTGTGGAATTTTAATAACATGGGTGAGGGTCCTTGAAACACTCCATGTCTAACTTTGGTCGCATCTGTTATTCACATAGTAATTACGTAAATGCCACAATAGAAGTCTTTTAAATAATTTTATCTTTAGGTACTCTCTTTCTTACCCCTACTATCTGAACGCATATTTCTAGATTAATCAAATACTTACAGTGATACCAGGACTGACTGAGTTAACTCTAACTCCCTTGGGGGCTAGTTCCAGAGACACCAGGCGGGTAAAGTGATCCAGTGCAGCCTGAAAAGCGGAATACATTAATCAGTCAAATTATTTGATGTAAATGATTACAACGTCTATTATTAACTTGAACGACAATTTTTAAAGAGCTTACCTTCGTCATACTATAAGGCACTCCACCTGTTGAAACCATGGTCGCTGCTGCACTGGAAATGTTGATAATATTGCCCTTGCTCTCGACGAGTGCGGGGGCCAGTAGCTTAGTGAGGTAGTAAACTCCTCTCACGTTGAGCCTGAACACGTCGTCAAACAACTGCATGTCTGTCTCGTGCAGGATATTTGTGGCGACGCCAATACCAGCGTTGTTCACGAGGACATCCAATCTGAAATTGAAATAATCACAAGTTAAAATCAACAACAACAAGTGCTCACTTTCACCCCTAATTAACTTGTAGTTTTTTAAAATCCATTATTGTGTTATAAAAAAATTAACGACAATGTAGAGGTAGAATAAATGTATTTTCAGCTGAACATTAATTACCTCTTAAAATATTCTAGTGTCTCCTTAGCAGTCTTCTGGACCCCCTCATCAGTCCCCAGGTCCGCGACGATCGCCAGCGGCTTCACGCCCTTCTGCTTCTCACACTCGGCCGCGACTGCTCGCAAGTTGGATTCATTTCTTCCCACCAGCGACAGCTTCGCGCCAAGTTTAGCGAACAGGAGAGCTATAGCCTCGCCTATACCGGCACTCGCGCCAGTTACTAGCA